CAGGAAGTCTCAGCTCAAGGTCAGGTAGGCAGGTGGGATCAGCACGGGGAGCTCCTCACCATAGACCACCATGTAGTTGCCCAAGACACTGGCTGTGTGGAAGGCTCTCTCCCTTGGGCCCTGAAGCCCATCCCGGCCCTTCAGGGTGGCCCACACACGCCGATCCACGTGGAAGAGCTCAGTGGAGTTCACACGCACAGAAAACCTGTAGGAGGGGCAGGGGAGCTCAGAGCAGGAAGGGCTTTCAGGAATGGTGGGCTCACCCAGGGTCAAGTCTGGATCTCTGACTCTCTCTGAGCTAGAAGTTCTCTGGGTACAGGACTGGGCCTGACTCATCTCTGGGTTACTTCCCTTCATAATTTAGCAAGGCCTGTAAATTACCACCAGACAGGCGTGTCAATGGCTGGGTGACTGGGTGTGTATAGGGAAACAAGAGATCGAACAAAAGATAGGCGAATGAAACAGAAATCCTAAGGATGTTTCACGTGCAGAGAAAACGTAATGAGTGTCACTGCACAACTTAAGAGAATGGAAATTCCTGTGTAAACCTTCACTGAAAACAATCAAACTGGAAAAAAAAAGTTAGAAAATGAGTGAGTAGACTGGTGAATAAATAAACAGGGGAATCGACCACGGAGTGGTATCTGTTGGTGGGTGAAGACCAGAGCAGGGCTGTCAGGCCCAACATATCAGGCCCGGCCCAGCCCAGCCCTACGGGGATATGGAGCAGGACACTCACTCACCTGGCAGTGGAGGGCCGGTGTCCCCCATGGACAAGCAGGGCACGGGAGGGAGCATGGAACACCATGGAGTGACCAGTGGCGGCAGGAGGTCGCCCACCCATTGGGATCACCTGCTCCCAGAGGCCTCCACTGGCACCATCGAGGCGGAAACGGAAGAGGCCAGAGGAGAAGAGGTCATGCTGGGTACGGCCACCAGACACATAGAGCCAGGTGTTATCCACGAGGGCTGCTGCATGGCCGGCCAGGCCTGGGGGTCCCAAGGAGTTGGAGGCGGGTGGTGCCAAGAGCTCCCAGTGGCCCCCACCTAGTGGGTTAAAGGCCCACACGTCATTGGTGAGGGAACCGTCAGCCAGTTCACCACCCATCAGCACCAGGGAGCCAGCCCAGGCCACGGCCACGTGGGAGTGACGGGCAGCCTGTGAGGAAGAGACAAGGAGACAAGGATGGAGAGGGTACCAGATAGAGAGAGAGAGCCAAAGACAGACAGAGAGACGCTGAGGGAGAAAGATGGAGGAGACACCCAGAGAGACAGAGAAATCAAGGCAGAGCCACACGGTGAGAAAAGAAGAGGGGCAGACACAAGGATCCACAAGTAAAGATAAAAGAAACATTCCATGATGGCTACCAGGGGTGAGAGGGAAGGGAAAATTATTCACGAGCTACAGGGCAGACATGCATTAACGTGGGTGAGGAGAAAGGCAACATTCAACAAGAGGGAGGTCTGCAGAGGGAAGCTGAAGGTAGCCGAAGACAAGGGGAGGAATGCGAGAGTTACAGTGAGTAGAGGAAGGGACTGCAATCATCGTAACGAAACCAAGTATATGATTTGCTGAATGAAAATTGATGATCTGCTCTGTAAACCTTCACTCAATTCACAATATGAAGTTGTTGTTTTTTTTAAAAAAAGAGTAAGAGAAGGTGAAGGAAGACAGACACAGGAGAAATGTCAGAGAGACAAAAACAGAATGAGATACTGGCCCCAGGGGACCAAGACGCAGAGACAGAAACAGAGATGGATGAGAGAGACAGGAGACACAGAAAGAGAAGCTGTAGAAAACGAGACAAAAGAAACCAGAACCAAAGGCAACTGCACTGTTGTCAAGTCGGTGATGCCGACCCACAGCGACCCTGCAGGACCAAGCAGAAATGCCCCCTAGGACTTCCAAGACTCAATCTTCACATGAGCGAGGGGGGAGAAGAAGAAAATCAGAGCGGAGAGGTGGACACGGAAAAGCAGTGTGGCCGTACTGAGCTGTGCAGGGACAGGAAGGGTCACTCTGTCTGATTTGGCACAGAGAAGACAGCCGGGTGGGGGTGGGGCTTCCTACCGGGGCAGGACTGAGGTCCCAGCGCTCCCAGCTATTGGAGGAGAAGTTGTATAGGACAAGGTCGCCCAGAGCATTGTTGAGATCCTGACCTGTGGAGGATGGATAGTCTCAAGTCCTGGCCACAGGCTACCCCGCCTCCAGGTCCCAGATGCTCCCCCATCTGCTCACCTCCAAAAACAGCCAACAGCCCTGGAGGGGACAGGAAGGCACCAGCTGCCCCAACTCGGGCAGAGAAGTCAGGGTCCCCAGCACTCACGTTGTGCCACCAGCCAGCCCCCTGATTCTCCCACAGGTGCAGGTCACAGGCATGTCCCAGGAAGCCAGGCTCACAGAGGCAAGGTCCCAGAGGCTAGGGGGAGCCGGGAGCACAAACACAGGGAGAGAGACAGAATCGGGGGTCAGACAAACAGGAGCAGAAAGGGAGCAGAGAGCCCAATGGGAAGGGAGAGAATGTTAAAAGAGATGAGAGAAAAGCAGAAGGGAAAGGTGGTGACAGAAAGGAAGAGGTAGACAGACAGACAGACAGACAGAGGAATGAAGAAACGGGCAAGACACACAGCAGTGGGAGGCAGAGTTGGAGACAAAAAGACAAACCCAGAGATCAACAGAAAAAAAAGAGAAAGAGAGAAAAAGGGAAACAGAAGATGGGTTGGAGAGGAGAGAGACTTAGTGTCCCGGGTTCGGCATAGGCTGAAAGAGCACAGACCTAGGGTATCATTCAGGCCCAGGATGTGGATCACTTGGATACAAGGCTGGGGGCCAAAGGTCAGAAGTTACAGCAGGGGCCTTAAGACCAGCTAGAGAGGCTGAGGCTGGGCGAGGCAAGAGGAAGGAAGTGGGGGTTCACTCAGATGAGAGGCGGGGTCACCAATGAGGACAGGAGGGTCTTAGGCAGGGGAGAGTCACAGGTAAGGGTGGGTGGGCTTAGAGTAACAGGTAGGGGTAGGATCTGGAAGGAGAGGGCAGTATTGTGGATGAGCAGGCTCTCTGGGGTGCTATGGGAGTGGTGGGAAGGTGGGGGTCCTGGTCCTTAGAGAGGTATGGACCCAGAGAGTGTGGTGTCTGGGGAACGAGCAGAGACTACGGTCACTCAGGGGACAGAGAGGGTGGTGTCTGGGGAACGAGCAGAGACTACGGTCACTCAGGGGACAGAGAGGGTGGTGTCTGGAGGGCAAGCAGAGACAGTGGTCACTCAGGGGACAGGACTGGGGACAGGCTCACCGAGGCACAGGTACCATGGCTGCCACAGTAGACAGAGCACTCTTGCTGGCTGCAGTCAGGGCCGCCCCAGCCCGGCTCACAGATGCACACGCCTGGGGGCCGGCACTGCCCGTGGGTCTGGCAGCCCCCCAGGCAAAGCGAGAAGCGGAAGGAGGCGTTGAAGCCCAGCAGGTTGTAGTTGGCGTCGCTGAAGAGGTGCAGCAGCATCTACAGGTACAAGGTGGGCAGGGCCTCTTCCCCATGCCCCCACCTGTCCTCCCCCGACCCAGCTGACCGCTCACCAACCTTGCCCGAGGAAGCCTCGATGGGGGGAGGCCGGGTGCTCCCACTCAGACTGGCCAGCAGGGGCCCACGGGGCGAGTCACCGTCATACACGAACAGGTAGTCGTAGGTGCACTCTGTGTCCAGGAAAAGGAAGTCCAGGAGGATCCGGTGCCGGGGGCTTGGGGCTGGGAGGCCAGAACAGGGGCTGGCTCACAGCTGGACCTTCTTCTCCCCGGACCTCCACACAGCCTTCCCACAGACCCCCCGGTCCTGCTGCCAGTCTGACTGGGAGACAGAGCCCAGCTCCCAGCCCAGGGAGCTCAGTAAAAGGGACGGAGGCCCGGAAGTAGACTTACAGGCCTGGCCTGGACAGGACCCCCGAGGCCAAATAAACACGTCCCCCTGCTCACTGGGAAAACCAAGTGCTGAGAGAGGAGACACCACCCTAACAGTCACCTCTAGAGTGGAAGCCACCAAGTTTCTGATGCCCAGTCCTTTCCAACTATGCTCAAGCCTCAGCTGTGCCCAGGCATGAGGCTCAGGGGCCAGGCCCTGACAGAGAGGCATGTTGTCGTTGTGGTTGTTGCTGTTAGGTGCTATCGAGTTGGCTCCAACCCATAATGACTCTATGTACAACAGAACAAAATACTGCCAGATGCTGAGCCATGCTCACAAGTGTTACGCTTGAGCCCATTACTGTTGCCACTGGGCCAATCTAGCCTCTTGAGGATCTTCCTCTTTTTCACTGACCAAGTGGGATGTCCTTCTCCAGGACTGGTCCCTCCTGATAACATGCCCAAAGTATGAGAGACGACGTCTCGCCATCCTGACTTCTAAGGAGAATTCTGGCTGTGCTTCTTCCAACACCGATGTGTTTGCTTTTCTGGCAGTCCATGGTACTTTTAATATTCTTCTCCAACGCCATAATTTAAATGCATGAGTTCTTTTACGGCCTTTCTTAGTCATTGTCCAACTTTCACATGCATATGAGGTGATTGAAAATACCATGGTTTGGGTCAGGTACACCTTAGTACTCAAACTGACATACCTGTATGTTTTTGAACACTTTAAAGAGGTCTTCTGCAGCAGATTTGCATCGTTTGATTTCTTGACTGCTATTTCCATGAGTATTGATTATGGATCCAAGCAAAATGTCTTTGACAACTTCAATCTTTTCTCCATTTATCAAGATGTTATTTATTGGTCCAGTGATGAGGATTTTTTTTTTCCTTAAATGGAGGTGCAACCCATACCGAAGGCTGTGGTCTTCGATCTTCTTCATTAATTATTTGGAGTACTTTTCCACTTTCAGCAAGCAAAGTTAAATCATCTACATATCACAGATCATTAATGAGTCTTCCTCCAATCCTGATGCCACATTCTTCTTCATATAATCCAGCTTCTTGCATGATTTGCTCAGCATACAGACTAAGTAAATACGGTGAAAGAATAGAACCCTGGGGTACATCCTTCCTGATTTTAAACCATTCAGCGTCCCCTTGTTCTGTTCCAATGACTGCCTCTAGGTCTGTGTACAGGTTCCTTATGAGCACAATTAAGTGTTCTGGAATTCCCATTCTTCCCAGTGTTACTGACCCACAGCTTACCGTGATCCACACAGTTGGAAAGCTTTTGTGTAGTCAATAAAGCACAGGTAAACATCTATCTGGTGTTCTCTGCTTTCAGCCAACATCCACCTGATGTCAGCAATGATAGCCTTTGTTCTACATCCTCATCTGAATCCTGCTTGAACCATTGGCGGTTCCCTGTTAATGTTCTGTTTCAGTCCATTTTAAATTATCTTTAGTAAAATTTTACTTGCATGTGATATTAATGATATTGTCCGATGATTTCCTCATTCTGTTGGTTTACCTCTCCTCAGAGAGGCATGCTCCCCAGATAGAAAGGGGCTTGTGTGGGTCCCCTGTTCCAGGACAAACCGAGCTCTGAAGGAAGAGTTCTCTTGGAAAAAGACCTTATCATGGAGGTCACAGTCCCCCCCTTACCCCCACCAAGAGTCTCCTTGCTTTGTTTAGCAGAAGTGGTTGCGGGCATGGATTCTAAGGCCTAACTGCCTGGACTCAAATGTTGACTCTTTCTCTTACTTGGTACATTAGCTGTATTACCTTGGGCAAGTTACCTAATCTCTCTGAATCTGTTTCCTCATCTGTTGAATGGGGATAGAGTGGTATGGTGGTAGATTAAGAATTCTAGGCCCCTCCTCCCATTCAGAGATGAAACCTAATTCTATGCCACTTATATCTGGGATGGCCTGAGAAATGTGCTTGGCCCATAAAAAGCCAAGGAGGTGGCATTCTTGGCCTTCCAAGGCACCTGCGTCTCCTGGGAAGCATATTCTCAGAACACAGCTGTTGTGCTATGAGAAGCCAGGGGTACATGAGAGACCCTGGAGAGAGTCCAGCTTCAACTACCAGTCCTGGGCACAAGCTTTCTTGGACAACGGTCCCAGGTAGAACCTTCAAGTGACTGCCACGTCAGCCGATGGCATCTGACTGCAGAGACCTGACAGGTGACAATACAAGCCAAGTCAGAAGCACCACCACTCCTCCTGCTCTCTGCTAGATCCTAGTTCGGGAACATTCTCTCATCCCACATTCCACACTGTGTGTGGGGGGGGGCGGGGGGGGAGAACAGGAACGTACTAGGACATCTGGTTTCCAGCTCCCACCCTGACCTGCTAGAAGACCCTGGGTCAGCCCCTCCCCCATGGTCCTCAGCACTATCCTTTGGGTAGCAGAGGGCTTCCCCCCACTCGCTAGGGGTGTGGGCTTGGGCCTTGGTTTCCTTGACTACTGTTGTTGTTGTTAAGTGCCATCGAGTCAATTCTGACTCACAGTGACCCTGTATAGGGTTTCCAAGGAGCAGCCGGTAGGCTTGAACTGCCAACCTTGCGGTTTGCAGTTCATTGCTGATTCTACAGCGCCACACCAGGAGTCCTGGACTGTAAAATAGGGATGATTCTCCCCACCCCCCAAGTCTGGGGTAGAGATCTATGAGATGATGAAATTGGAACCTGAGGATTCAATAAATATGTTGGCCCACAGCCCAGACCTAGGCTTCATCCTCTAGGGTCTCTGAGTCCAACTCCCAGCCTCCAGTCCTGCCTTACCCATGGGTCCCTGTGGAGCTTCCCAGCTCAACAGTCAACCCTGTCCCTCCCCTACTAAAGGTCCCTCCATGGCCCCCCAACACTGCATCTGAGCCTGCCCTCATCTTTTATCACTGAACTGTCTGAAGCGCAACAGGAACCTGGACCTTGTGCAAGCTTCTGCCTCTAAACCGGCTACTGTCGAGTGGATTCTAACTCCCAACAAGCCTACACGATGAGCATGACTGCTCTTTGGGGTTCCGAGACTGTCAGGCTTTACGGGAGCAGACAGCGGCTGCTGAGTTTGAACTGAGCACCTTGCGGTTAGCAGCCCAATGCTTAGCCCTGTTGGTGCTGTTGTTGGGTGCACCAAGTTGGTTCCAACTCATAGTAACCCTATGCACACCAGAAGGAAATACTGCCCTGTTCTGTGCCAGCCTCACAATTGTGGTCACACTTGAGCCCATTGCTGTTTCCACTGTACCCATCCATCTTATTGGGGGATCTTCCTCTTTTTAAGTGACCCTCCACTTTACCAAGCATGATGTCCTTCTCCAGGGACTGGTCTCTCCTGATAATATGTCTGAAGTATGAGAGACCAAGTCTGGCCATCTTGGCTTCTAAGGAGCACTCTGGCTGTACTTCCAACAGAGAGACCTGTTTGTCCTTCTGGAAGTCCATGGTACTTTAAAAATAATTCTCCAACACCATAACTCAAATGAATCAATTCTTCTATGGTCTTCCTTATTCACTGTCCAACATTCATATGCATATGGAGCTACTGAAAATGCCTTAGGTCAGGCACACCTTAGTCCTCAACAAATTTGTGGAAAAATGGAAATAAAAGGGAATTTTTCCATGAACTTTTTGAAACCCCTTTGTAGATTGTCTCTTCCCACAGCAGGCTTCCCCATCTCCTCCAGGAAGCCTTCCCTGATGCCTCTTAGCTGCATTAGGGCCCCTCTTCCGGGTTCCCAGATCCCAGCATAACACTTATTTTTCTGAGCACGGGTCATCTGTATCCAAGCCTGTCTCTCCCTACAGCTGTGGGAGGCTCTCAGAGCAGAGTCTGGGCCTGATTCATTTTGCATTACTCAGCACAAGGCCTGTTCCTAAGCAAACCAAACCTACTGCCACCGAGTTGATTCTGACCCACAGTGACTGTACATAGGGTTTCTGAGACTGTAAACCTTTACTGGAGCAAACAATGTTTCTCCTATAGACCCTAAAGTCTCATCTGTCTCCCACCAACCTGCAGTCAGCAGTCCAACGCCCTAACCCACGGCACCACCAGGGTTCTGTGACCCTGAGCAAGGCTTCTGGAGATGCTGACTGGAGGGATGAAGAGAACCACTGAGAAAGAACACTGACCTCAGCAGCTTCCCCCTGGGCTCTAAGAACCCACAGGCCAGAGAATGCAGAACCATTCAGCCAGGTGAAGCAACCACCGTGCCAGGGATCTCAGCCATACTACAAAGTTCTGCTCCCAGAATCACAAGTGCCTGCTGGAGATAGACTCACCATCTGCCTTCCTTCCCCACACTCTTTCCCAAACTCAAGGCTCAAGGTCTCCAGTTTCCACCCACCCCCAACAAGCCCCCATTCTAGCCAGCCAGAGATCTGACTCCAAACACTTCTGTTCCACATGACCCAGGATGCATACAATGAAGCATCAACATAGTGCACAAGGGGGGTGGTTGCTTCTTGTTTCAGCAAATGGGGTAACATGCTGGTTCTTAGAGGTGGCAGGCACTGAAAAGGATAGGAGGTCAGGGGGCTCCTGATTCATATCCAGCTGGTCCCCAAGCCTCACGGATAAAACTTCCCAGGAATCTCTGGGTGCTGTCCCTGCCTCCCCACCTGTCTCAGAATTGGCCTCAGATCAGAGCTCAGCACACAGTCTCCAGCCACCCCAGGCCCAACCTGGCAAAGATGCCTCATTCCTGCCCCAAATCCTTCTGTGGCTCCCCAGCCACATTGAGAGAAAGGCCACATTGCTCTGTGTGACATTCAAGGGCCTTCTTCCTCTACCTTTGGCTCCTCCTCAGCCCTGGCCACCAGTCCAGTCAGATCCAACAAACTCAAAGATGGATCCTAAGAAATACCGGCCCCTCTAGTGTCTTCAGAGAGACCAGCCCCTTTTCCTACCCAGGAAAGGAGCTGGGGGAAGCACAGTGGCTCTGCGGTGTAAGCACTGGACTATGAACCACAGTCAGTGAGTCACACCTACCAGTCTCTCTGCAGGAGCAAGATGAGGTTTTCGGCTCAGATGTGGTTTTACAGGCTCAGAAATCCTATTCAGGGTAGCTAGGTGTCAGAACCAACTCAGCAACACTCAACAACAACAACAACAAAGGAGTCCGGGTGGCACTGTGGGATAAGCATGGGACTGCTAACAGCAAGGTCAACAGTTCAAACCCATCAGCTGCTCTGCAGGAGAAAGATGAGGCTGTACACAAAAATGTACAGCCTTGGAAACCCTATACAGGGTGGTCATGAATTGGAACTGACTCGATGGCAGTAAGTTTGAGTTTGAAATTCCTATATATACTTCTCTGGTAGCGTAGTGGTTACGAATTGGGCTGCGAACCTTAAAGTCAGCAGTTCGAAACTACCAGCTGTTCCGAGGGAGAAAGATGATACTTCCTGCTCCCATAAAGATTTACAGCCTCGGAAACCCTGCACAGGGTCGCTATGAGTCAGAACAGACTCCACGGCACACAACAACAAATATGTACTTCAGAACCCTGCTCCAGTGAATGCTGCTCTGTGGTCCCCAGCGAGGCCCTTCCCTCCCTCCGGTACCTCTACCCAGCTCCTGCACCCCACCACTCTGCCTCAGGCCCTCAACATGCTGGAGGCTGTGTCTCTGTGTGTCCAATCATCTCTCTCTCACCAGCATGAGGCTCCTCAAGGCCAGAGAATGATTTAGGCACCCCCGCCCTCCGCCCCCACCACACACCCCTCCATGATCCATCACCACTTCTCATGCTCATCCTGCCAGGAATGGCCTCCAGTGAGACACACTCCTTGGCCCATAACTCGCAAAGAAGCCAGAGAGATCTTCTGAAACAGAAATCAAATCATATCCTTCTCCTGCTCAAAACACTTCCATGGTTCCCACTATCCCCAGATCAAACCCACGTTCTACAGCCTAACTAGGAAGGCACCACACAAGCCAGGTCTTGTCACTCCTCCAGCCTCGTCTGGGACACCCCTACATCTCCTTGGGGTCCACTTCCTACCTCTGCTGCACCAAGGCCTCCCTTTCTTCCTACTGTTCTCAAAGTACAATTCAAAATCACAGGGTCCTACATCCATCCTCTAGCTCTTCCTGACCCCTCGAGCCTCCGGCTCACTGGGTATCCTCTTGCATTCCGTGTTCTAGCATGCTGGGTTTCCAGTTCTTTGAAAACAGCACACTCTCTTCCTTCCAGGTTTTTGCAAGGATTCTTCTTGCCTAGAAAACTCTTCTGCTCCCCCTTCCATATGCCCCTGGTCTGGGCTCAGACATAGCCCAGGCTAGATCGGGGCCTGCCTTGGGCTTCCCAACCTCCTAGCAGTGAGGCTCTCTCTCGCGCTGGACTGGAGCCCACAAGGGCGGACTGAGGCTAAGACTGACACCGTTGGCAGCACCTCACCCGGTCCAGCATATGGCTGGGTACAAAGCATCATCCATCCATAAACGTGAGCGGATGGAAACACACCTAACTGAGAAAGAGACATTAAGGAAGGGAGATGCTTGATCCTGGAGAGACAGACGTGAACTGAACACAGTTCCCTCTCCTCACCAGATCAAGTATACCAGGCTCTCTCTGCACTCAGGGTCTTCACAAAGGCTGCTCCTTCGTCCCGGAATGCTCTTCCTCCTCCTCCTTCTCCTTTATATACCAAGCCCATTGCCGCAGAGTCGATTACAACTCAGGGCAAACTTACAGGACGGAATGTTGTTGTTGGGTGCCATTGAGTCAGTTACAACTCATAGAGGCCCTAGGCACAACAGAGTGAACCAATGCCCAATGCTGGACCATCCTCACAACTGTTGTTACAACTGAACCCACTGCTGCTGCCATTGTGATAATCCACCTCCTTGGGGGTCTTCCTCTTTTTCTCCAACCCTTCACTTTACCAAACATAATGTCCTTCTCCAGAGACTGGTCCCTGCTGATAACATGTCCAATGTATGAGAGACGAAGTCTCACCATCCTGGCTTCTAAAGAGCATTCTAGCTGTGCTTCTTTCAACACAGATTTGTTTGTTTTTCTGGCAGTCCACAGTACTTTTAAAACTCTTCTCCAACACCGTAATTCAAATGAATCCATTCTTCTACAGTCTGGCTCATGCATTGTCTAATTTTCACATGCATATGAGACTATTGAAAACACCATGGCTTGGGTCAGGCACACTTTAGTCCTCAAACTGACGTCTTTGCTCTTGAACACTAAAGAGGTCTTATGCAGCAGGTTCACCTAATGCAATACGTTGGTTCAGCTCTTGACTGCGGCTTCCATGAGTGTTGGTTATAGATCCAGGCAAAATGAAGCCTTTAACAACTTGAATCTTTTCTCCATTTATCACCATGTTATTTATTGGTCCAGGGGTAAGGATATTTGTTTTCTTTAAATTGAAGTGTAACCTATACCAAAGCCTGCAGTCTGTAATAGGACAGTACAAAACCGTACTACAGGATTATCACAAGTCGCTCCCCAGGAGAAAGATGACGCAGTCTGCTCCCGTAAAGATTTTCAGTCACAGAAACCCCACGGAGCAGTTCCACTCTGCCCTGTAGGTTTCTAAGAATCGCAATGGACCTGATGGCAGTGATAGTAGTTATAGCAATAGGGTTTCCAAAGCGGTCACCTCTGCAGAACTCGACTCATCTTTCTCTCAAAGAGAAGGTGTTCAAAATGCCGTTCTTTGCGTTATCAGCTGAGCACTTAACCACTGTGTTGCCTGCATTCCTGGATTATTAAGTGCCAGAACAACCCTATATAGGGTTTCTGAGGCTGCAAATCTTTGCGAAAGCAGAAAACCTCATCTTTTTCCTGAGGAGTGGCTGGTGGGCTAGATCCGCCAACCTTGTGGTTCACAGCTTGGTGCTATACACAGTTGCTGTACAGCCCGGGCTCCAAGGTAATTTTTATTAACCCTGAAGGTCTCAGCTCAGACAGGGCCTCTGCTCCCTACCCTCCTCCAAGTCAGGGACCTCCTGGAGACTCCCACAGACCTCTGTATCTGCACTGGCCACTTAGGTCTGTCACTGGTACGGTTTGTGTTCATTTGTTTTTTAATATTTTACTGAGTTTTCTGATGAATGTTTACACAGCAAGTTAGGTTCCCATTTGATAGCTTCCATATAAAGTGTTTGGTGACCTTCGTTACATTTGTTACAATGTGTCAATCTTTCCTTGTGTTCAGTCTGATGTTTCCTTTCTAGTCCTCTAGTTTCCTGTCCCCTTAGCTTCTCATCTTTGCTTTTAAACAACTGTTGACCTGTTGCTCTCATACTAAAGCTTCTAAAGTCGTGCACTGATCTTATGGGGACTAGCTTTTATTTTGTGTGCTACTCTGCTATTTCACTAGGTCAGCAGTTTGAGCCCACCAGCCACTCCCTGGGAGAAAGACAGAGGCCTTCTGCTCTGTTGGTGACTTAAAAGTCTCAGAAACCCTATACTGGGTGGCTGTGAATTGGAACCAACTCAACAACACTTAACAGTACTAGAACTGCTATTTCACTAAGGAGCCTTGGTAACGTAGTGAGTTCTAGTTTGAATCCACCTGCCATCCCATGGGAGAAAGATGAGGCTTTCTGCTCCCATAATGATCTACAGCCTTGGAAACCCTACACAGGGTCACTATGAGTCAGAACTGACTCCATGCCACATAACCACACCCTGTTATTTTGCAAAAAGGTGATTTTAGGGGATAGGCTGAGGTCTAGGTTTAAAGAGTGTCTCAGGGCAATAGTCTCTGGGAGTGTAGTCTGTACTTTTCCAGTTTGCCTGGCTTTTTTTTTTTTTTAATATGAGTTTGAGTTCTGCAAAATATTGTTTTTCCCAATCTATACAGGACCAACTATTGTATTGTCCGGTGTCTTCTAGGTCCCAGTGACAAATACATCTGGCACATTAACGTCTGAAAAGGTACTGTCACTTAAATACTTAAACATCCCAACAGTAATAACCCTAACCCCATTTACTAAGCCCTGACTATATGCCCCACCATTCATCTGTCAGCTTGTCAGATGCTGTCAGCATGTGTCAATGCGATGCTGGAAGCTATTCAACCAGTATTGCAAATGCCAGCAAGGTAGACAGGTTTCAGCAGAGTTTCCAGACTAAGACATACTGGGAAGAAGGACTTGGTAATCTACTTCAGAAAAAATCAGCCAGTGAAAACCTTATGGATGGCAGCGGATCAATGTCTCTGATGCAGTGCCAGAAAATGAGCCCCTCAGGTTGGACAGCACTCAAAAGACACAGTGGCGGCAACAATGGACTCAAGCAGAGGATGGAGTACGACGAGACAGTATTTTGTTCTGATGTAATTAGGGCTGCTATGAGTCAGAACCGACTAGACGGCAACTAACTACAGTTGTGATGTATTATGTGCCAGGCGTGCTAAAATACTTGGTCTTGTTTAAGCCTAACAGCCTTATGAGATATTATCATCTTCACTGGGGGAGGGCAACTGATGCTCAAGGAAGGAAAATTGCTTGCCTAGTCACAGTGGTAATAAGTACTAGAGCCCGAGTTTAAAGCTGGGTGGATGGCCTCAGAGTTTTGAGTTTCTCGCAACCGTTCAGAATACCCATCATGGCAGCCCCTGGGTCTGGGTCAGTCTCCTCCACCAGACATCATGGCCCTACAGAGCAAAACTTAGATTGGTTGTAACCCTTGTGTCCAGTCTTTTGGAGCAAAAGGTCTGGCCCAGAAGCCCACTAGAGGAATATGCTGAGTGAATGAATGTGTGCATGAATGAATGAGTGAATGATCCAGAAGGCCGTACTCACCCTCGATGAGCCACTCACAGTTGCCATTGACACTGTAGTTGCCCGCACCATCCGTCACGAAGCCTGGCGCATCCCGAAGTACCTGCCGCTGCCCCTTGCAGTCCCCTGCCCTGGCCCCCGGGGAGAGTGGCCCCATGGCGGTCAAGACCAGGGCCAGCAATCCAGCCAGAGGCAGGCCCAGGGCCATGGCACCTCCTGCACCAACCCTTAGAAACAAACCCCACAGAGGAACGCCCCCAACCTGGGGTGAGACCCTGCAAGTTCAATCTCTATAGAGAAAGCAAGCCTTTGTAGACTTGGATAAGTCTAAGAGACGCCGTCTCTGCCAAGTGACAAGCTGCTGTCGACAGATTCTGGAAGCCGAGGGGCACGCTCTATAGACCCAGGGAAGGCTCTATAAATAGGGTCGCAATTGACGGGGCTGGGCTCTAGGGATCGTGAAAGTTCTCAGTAATCACAGGACCCCATAGATTGGCAGAGATCCTATAAACTATGCTCAGCAGCTAGAGACGCAGGCCTGCCCCTTCGGGCCGAAATGGCCCTTATACATGGGTGGGCTCCCTAGAGACATAGGGCTTTATAGCCCGGCGGGGGCCTCCATGCACTGGGCAGAGGAGGCGATGCGGACTCGAACTGGCCAGGCCCAGACGGTCCCGGACGGGCCCCTCCAGCCGAAGGCGGGGCACAAATGGGTGCCGGGGGCGGAGCCCGCTTTCAGGGGCTTGGGTCCCGGACCCCATGGACGTACTCGTTTGCTCACCCACCCTCGCCTCCCTCCCGGAGCCGGATGGGCCAGATCAGAGAGATGAGGGGACGCGCAGGGCAGAGCGGCCCCAAGAAGACCCACTGGGAAGGAACGGGAGTCAGGACCAAGCGTCCGCAACTGGAAGGCCGCTGGAGAGGAGGCGAGAAGTCGCGGCGTAGCTGCCTAGAGCAGCCCTGGGAGGACTGCGCAGCGCCCAACCCCACCCCTCTGCCAAGAGAGACTTCCCCGCCCACTTATTTCCAGCCGCATGCGCAACAGTGACCTCATTGGCTGAAAAGTGGAAGTATACATGCACCGTGCCAAAATCGTAATCCATACTCTGGGCTCCTGTAGTTGACCAGAGTATATGCCACTGAAGGGCCCCTTTAATAGGGAAGGGAAGGTAAAGATAAGGAAGGAGAAGGTTCAGTAGATGGTTCTGCAGGATGATTTATATTTTCAACTGTACCCACATTCCAAGACAATATAAAAGTAAAGATTATGTAGGCCCTTGCTTGGTCCCAGAAGCCTGGGTCACGCAGTGGTTAAGCGCTCAGCCGGTAACCAAAAGTTCGACCATTCAAACCCACTAGCTACTGTGCAAAAGAAAGATGTGACAGCCTCCTTCTATAAAGATTGTTGTCATTGTTTAGTGCCATAGAGTCGGTTCCAACTCATAGCCACCCTGTATAGGGTTTATCCGAGAGCGGCTGATGAATTTGAGCCGTCCACCTTGCACTTCGAACCTGACTTGCAGTCCAGTGCATTATCCCACAGCGCCACACCAGGACTCCTTGTAAAGATTACAGCCTTGGAAAACCTATGGGGCAGCTCTAGTCTGTCCTATAAAGTTCATGTGGGTTGGAATCGACTTGATGGTCATTGGTTGGGTTTTGCTTTGCCTCCAGGAGCAGGAGGTTCCCACCTCTAAGCACCATCAAGATGTCAAACGGAAGCCCTTACTGATAAAAACTCAACGAATCCTCTTTATTCTGGCAAGAAGGGAGGGGATAAAAGTCTTTCGTTGGAGGAAGGGTTGTCAGAGCAGAGACCAGGTTCACAACATCCGTTCCGGGAGTAGTGGCTCGGGATCGAAGAATCCTGAAGCGTCACGGGCAGGGTCCTGGTGGTCTCGTCGCGAGGGTCCTGGGTCCGATGGGGTCAGAGGTCTCGAAGGGGGGCAGGGGGCCGGAGGTCGCGGAACAGCGGGAGCCCAGAATCCGGCGCTGCTCGAGGCGGGGGCTGAGGGAGGGGACGGGACAGAGGCTCCCGCGGGACCGTTTGGCACAAGAATAGGGGAAGGGGACAGGACGCAGCGCAGCCGCACCTGAGCGCGCCAGGGGTAGGGAAAGATCAGGATGGCCCAGCCCGGGGCTGGGATAGGGCAGGGTTCCGGGTACGGCCTACGGGAGTAAGGTGGTCAGACCGGGGGAGCGGTGCCCCCGGCCGTATGCATGCTGAAGTATTCGGTGAAGCCTGTGTGCGGCGCCGCCGTCTGGGGCACTAGCGGCTGGTAGGGCGCCGTTGGACCATCCCAGCCCCGGTCAGCCGACTTAGAGAGTCGGGCGGAAGAGGGCGGGGAAGCCACGCCCGGCTTGGCCATGGTCACCACGCGGCCCCTTGGGGCCACCGCCGCCGCCACCACCGCAGTCTCCTCCACCTGCTTCCCGGCCTGGGAGGGGGGTCAGGGTAAGAGACCGCCCGGGACGCTCGGGGATTAGATGCGGGCCCAAAGATCCCTCCCCCTCCCCTAAAGAATCCCTCCAAGCGCCGGTGCATGATCAGTTGGGGCAGGAGTGGGTGGCGGGGCGCCTAGGCAGCGGGGCCAGGTACTCAAGGGGCGGTGTCGGGGCACACCGGGTGAACTGCGGCGGCGGCCGGACAGGGTTGGGAGAGCCTCGGAAGGCAGGTGGTGGGGGCACTACGCGAGGCGTCGGCGGGGGCGTGCGCAACATGGCCAGGACCCAGTCCGGCAAAGTGGGCGCGGGCGCCGGGAGACGGTCGCGGCGCGGAGTTGGGGCGCGGGGCGTGCGAAAGGCAGGGGGTGGGCTCAGGCGCCCAGGCGCGGGGGGCGGCGGTGGGGCCGGGAGCGGGGTCAAGTACTCCAGGGGCGGCGCCAGCAGCTCCTCAGGCGCCGGGAGCGCGAGGCTTACGGAGGAAGCGGGCGGGGGGATGGAGAAGAGCTCCGTGAAGTTGGGCACCGAGTCGCTGATGAACGTCACGTTCCCATAGACGTGCTGCGGGAAGGCCTTGGCCCCGGACTGGCTTCCTCCTGGGCCAGGGGCGCCAGCTGAGGCGATCTGCGATGTACGCACGTGGTACGGGAAGTTTTTGTTGGCCGCAGATGGACGTGTCATGATCTGGGGCAAGGAACCAGAATGCAGGTTGGAGAAGCACTAAGTAGACCACAGGCTGCCCTCCAAACGTGAAATCCTAAGGACTCCCCTCCCACCTGAGGTGCCTCATTTGGGCTCTCAGAATCCCTGAACTTCCTCCCTGGAATCTGACCCTTCCCCCCTCACAGCTATTACTCCATCTATACTTCCTCTAGAGTCCTGGTGTGGCGCTGTCGATAAACACTGAGCTGCTAACCACAAGGTCTGTGGTTCAAAACCACCAGCTGCTCCTCGGAAACCCTATACAGGGTTGCTGAGTAGAAACTGACTCAATGGCACTTAACAATATACTTCCTTCTCCTCCGTCAAGAGCCTTGGTCACTCTGGATGCCACTGATTGCTAAATATCAAGGTCCTGTGCTGCCTGTTCAACATGCTAGCCATTAACCACATGTGGCTATTTACATTTAAATCAGTTAAAATTAACTAAAATTTCAGTTTTTTCAGTCACACTAGTTACATTTCAGGAGTCTTGGTGTGGCGCTGTGGGGTAATGCGCTGGACTGCAAAGTCGGTTTGAACCTCAACGTGGGCGGTTCAAGCTCACCAGCCGCTCCTCAGAACCAGCTCCACAGCTCTTAACAACAGTCCCATTTCAAGTGCCTAGTTGCCATGTGTGGGGAGTAACTACTGTACTGATGAGCGAAGACTATGGGATATTTCCATAAACACAAGGTTTCATTGGACAGCAACTGAGACATTAAAATGGTACCCCATGAGGGTAGAAAGTTTGACTCCTTCAGAATCCCCAGGACCTTCTAGAGCACTGCATGATACACAGAACCAACCCACTGTCAGCAAGTCAATTCGAACCCCTAGAAATCTTACAAGGCAGAGTAGAACTGCTCCACACTGTTCCTGAGACTGTAAATCTTTATAGAAGCAAACAGCCTCATCTTTCTCCACTAGAGCAGCTGCTAAGTTTGAACCACTGACTTTGTGGTTAGCAACCCAACACCTAACCCACTACGTCTCAAGAAATAAGTGTTGAATGTAGAGGCATCTTCTGGATCAGTCTGGGAAACCACGAGCAGAGAGACCACCAGCAGAGTCACACTCCCTCACTTCCTCCACCCCTAAGTCCAGGACAGCGCCCTTAAGGTTGTGCTGAATCAGTGAATGGGGAGATAAACCCAATGAGCAATGGATGCCAGAAGTGGAGTCGTGCTTAGCTAACGTGTGCATTTTTCAGAAGGGAACTAGCTGAAGGTGAAATAATAGCGGAAAGGGCATTTGGCATTCTGAGCCTGCACCCCACCTTCCAGCTCCACAGCTTGCTGAGTGTGGGATCTGGGGCATGTTGATTAAACTCCCTGCGCCTCGCTGGGGAAGAGAGACTGTAATGCCTTCTTAGAATGATGAGGAAGAGGTGGAAATGAAAACCATTGGAGCGGAGCCTGGGACATGGTAGCGTCTCGCAGTGTTTCTCCTCCTCCTGTCCCTTTCTAGCTTCCTGTAGAGAGCTGCAAGAGCTACAGTTTCAGGAAAGGTGAGTGAGTCTGTACCTGCATCATGCTCTAGGGGTGGAAGATGGGGGTCCTGACCCCTCCCTCAGTGGCTGAGTATATGTCCTCCACAGAGCGCACTGCAGACCCCCTGGAATAGGAGCTGGGGCGTGAAGCCTGGCTCCCTGTGTGCCTCCCTTGTGCTGTTGAAGGATAAGGCTCAAAATCTCCGCCCAGCCCCCAGAAGCCATGGAGCCCTGACAAGTCACCTCCCCTCTCTGGACTTTAGCTTCCTTTCACTATATAGTGTGGGTACAATACTGTCATCTTGCCCTGCCCTAGAAGCTGTTCTGACAATTAGAACAAGAGGTCAAAAACAAATTCATGTCAATTCCAATTGATGAATGAATGAATGAATGAATGAATGACTGTGAGAACTGCCATCCAGAAAATCCAATGAGATAGCAACCAGGGCAAAGATGGTTGTTGGTGTGGCAGGCAACACCATGCAGATCTAGTCCTTCTTGAAGCCCAGGAGAGGACATGTTGGTCCCAAGCATGTCAAATGCCCACTGTGACTTCTTGTGATGGAGTGACAAATAGGAAACCTGGGGGGGGGGGGTTGTAGAGAAGGGAAATAAGAAAGTCTGAGGACACAGCATCTGGAATGACAATGGCAGTGAAATAGAGAAAGAAGGAGGGGGAACTTGGAGAAGAAGCCGGGACATGGGTAGGGGAGAAAGGAATAGAAGAGAGCAGAATCCAGCAGGCTCTCAACGGTGTTTGTTAAATAAAATGAATGAAGTGAGGGAAATGGATCAAGAGCTCAGAATGGAAGGTTCAAGAAGATCAGGAGTGGGAGCCTCATGCATCTTCCACCCATGGGTTTCCTACCCCAACCGGATGGTCATCCTCACCAGGAACACGCCATGGGCATACAAATGGATTCCTAGCTGGATGCCATTGACGATCTTCTCTCTGGCCCACTTGGGGATCCCAAAGTTGGCAATCAGGGCCATGACGGGAACGGCAAAGAACCTGAGGGATATTCAGTTGCTAGAGACACGGCCTCTGCTTTCTTCCAGACCTCCCCTGTCATGCACACACGTTTCGAGGGGGTTTTCATACTAGAGGGGAGTCAGTATGACCTTCAGAATCCAGAGGTTAAAAGGTGGCAGGAATCCCATTCACCTGGGAACATCTAGGGGGCAAGGACTGGGTTGAATTTAACTTGGTTGCATCCCACCCCAAATCAGTTTCTAAGCATTACATATCTATATATGTTATTATTTTTAAGTGCTGTCAAGTCAGTTCCAACTCATAGTCACCCTGTATAGGGGTTTCCAAGGAGCGGCAGGTGACTTTGACCCTCCGACCTTGTCGTTCAAACCGACCTTGTGGTCCAATGCTTTATCCCATGTTGCCACACCAGGATTCTGTATATATATATACATATATATATATATAAACTAACTTAATTCTCACAGCAACTCTATGTTGTTGTTGTTGTTAGGTGCCATCAAATCAGTACCGATCCATAGCAACTCTATGAAGCAGGTACAATTTCCATTCCTATCGACCAGGTGAGGACACAGAGGCAGAGAGAAATCAGATGATTTGCCTGAGGTCACACAGTTTAGGAGCTTTCGAACTGGGAGAATCCACCAACTTTACTGCTACATCATAATGGATGATAATAGTTACAACTGGATTTTACTGACCAAGGGCCAGACACTAAGCTCTCATACCTTGCCCCACGCATGGTCAAGATCATCTTTGGCAACAGATAATAAAGACAGCTCCATTTTTTTTAGGACAAAAATAGAAGTGCAAAGAGGGAAAATAATTTTTTTCAATGTCACAATGTAAGTAATGGTGATGACCCACTGGCAGCCTGTCACTAACACACTGAGGCACGTTTGAGTTGGAGGCAGCCCTTTCTGGGAAGGACAGGGATGCAGGGACAGGTTTGAGGGCCCACCATTGTCTCACCAGAGGGTGTATGCAGCAAAGAAGGGCACGTAAAAAGGCTGCTTCTCCGGGAAGTGGCGCAGGGAGACCAGAACGGCGTAGCAGAACCACACGTAGGCCGCCACCTGCAGCCCGATGAGCCCATAGCCTGCTGGCGACTCATATGTGTACAATACCTGGCCCGGGTCAAAGAACTGGTCCCGAGGGAGAGGGGTTGTCACAGCCCTGGCCTCCCACTCTCACTGCACAGGGGCCCTGGACCCCACCCCTGGATGCCCAGGGAAAAGAGCTACTGGGGAAGGACAGAAATATTGCGAGAGTGAGGCTGGAAAGGGAAGCATATAGAGCTGAGAGAGCAGGTCAAAGTGACAGGAACAAAGTACATCAGTCTGTGTGTGTGTGTGTGTGTGTGTGTATGTGTGTGTGCGTGCCCACCCATTACCAGTGAGTCAACTCCGACTCACAGTGATGCTCTAAGACAGAGTAGAACTGTCCCCTTAAGGTTTCCAAAGCTGCAGATCTTTATGGAAGCCAACTGCCACATCTTTCTCCAAAAGTTCTTTTGTTAAGTGCTGTCAAGTCATTGCTGACTCACAGTGACCCTATATAGGGTTCCAAGGAGCGGCTGGAGAGTCTGAACTGCCGACCTTGTGGTGGACAATCCAGTGTTTCAAGAGACTGGCAAATTCAAACCACTGACTGACCTTTCAGTTAACAGCCAAGTGCTTAACCACTGCATCACCAAGGCTCGTTTGCTGCACCAAACACAGCCTAAAGACCTACCATATGCGAGCTCCTTTCATTAGCATAAGCTCTGTGAGAGTTGTCTCATCACTCCATCTCACAGAGGAGGAAACTGAGGCTAAGAGGGAAACCCCTCGACCATAGCCATACCAGGGATGTTGCTGTTAAATGCCATTGAGCCAGTTCCGACTTGTAGCAACCCTGTACTGGGGTTCCGAGAAGCGACTGGTGGGTTTAAACCGCTGACCTTGCTGTTTAAATGGACCTTGGGGTTCAGTGCTTAGCCTAGCATGCCACACCAGGACTTCATACCTGGGATGGAAGGCTTTAAAGGAGCCCCTGTGGTCTGGGGGTGGGGTATGGCCCAAGGGCAGCCAGGAAGGAAGTGTGGGAGCTAGAGTGGAATCAGGTCTTTGTGACTCCTGAACCTAGTCACCAAGACAGCGTGCATAACTGTGACAGACAGTGAGAGACAAAAGGAGGAGGAAGGCTGCTAAGAGATGGTGAAGAGGAGAGACGCACCCTTAGACAGATGGGAAGGCGGCAAACTGCAAAGAGGGGGAGAGAGCCGGAATAGTGTTGTGTGGGGAAAGGCTAGCAGACAGGTTGAAGGAGAGGAGGTGGTCAGAAGCTTTGAGGAATGGGGGAAAGCGGGTCCCCGGGGGTGGGCGGGGGTGGGGAACTCACTTCAGCCTCGTAGATGAGCAGTACCACATGAGTAAGAGTGTACAGAGTCATGTAGACAGACAGCTTCACAGAGCCCGAGTGGCTGATGCGGCCCCTGGCACCCGGCCATGCGAGGAGACAGCAGGGTGGGGGTTGTCAGGGAGGAGAGGGAGACCACCCCCCCAAACCCATACCTCCCTACCCTGCTCCCTAACCCAGCCAGCCCAGGAACACTCCCTTCCACCCCAGCCTGGGCACCGTGTCACCGTGAATCCCTTCCCCAGAAGGATGAGCATCAGAAGGAAGATGAGGAAGCTGGAGGAGAAGAGCAGCTTGGCTGGGAGGAGGGAGGAGAGGGGAGCTTAGAGAGAAAGCCCCCATCTGAGACTCCACCCTCCCTTGTTCCCACTTCATCCTCACCCAAGATCTTCAGACTTTCATTGCCAATGCCATCAGTGGCATACTGGCCCCAGTAGATGCAGAAAAACAGGAGACTCAGAACTGAAGTATAAATGGAAAAGGGGAGAAAGGGAAAAGCCAACTTTGGGGTATTGCTGTCCCCTGCACTACATGGCCAGAACCACTCTTCCAGCCCTACCAGAACTCTAGTCCCATCGACCTCCTAGGACACCCTGGTCTGGATCCTTAGCCTCCTGACTCAGGAGCCCAACTCCCAACCTCTCTTCCCTCAGACCCAGGAGTCCTGGCCCCTAGCCCTTTCCTCCCTCAGACCTCAGAGTCCAGGCTCCCAGCTCTTCCTCCCACAGAATTCCCAAGATGGGATACTCTAAACCTCACCTTCTACTCCTGCCGCTGCCATGAACATTTTATAAGTTGTGTGGAGCAACTGACGACCTTTCAGCAAATCTGAGGAGAGGGGCAGGGAAAAGTTGTTCCTGGAGAGGAGGGAAAAGCAGCTCATCTCCTCCCAACAACCGGCTCCCCATATCTCCTAACACCCTTCCCCCCCTGCCATGTGCTGGACTTACAGCCAAAGTAACAGGAAAGGAAGAAGATAAGGATGAAGATGAGGAGGAAAGTCACATCTGTCTCCAGAATCCCTACAGGTGTGGTGGAAGGAGAAGACGGTGATTTCAGGCTAGGTGTCCCTTCCCAGGCACACAGCTCTGGGCTCCCACAAAGACCCCTGGCTCCTGGGTCCCCCGGTGCTCACCAAACTCATCAGCCGAGAAGTGCCGAGTCCAAAAGGACTTGCCATTGGTGAGGATCATCTCATACTCCAGCTGCAACCCATCTCCCTGTGGGGAGGGTGGAGGCCTAAGGGGGACCCTGGGCAGATAGGGAGTCAGCAGGAAGGCAAAGAGGAGAAGGCCCAGGTGGCCACCCTAGCCTCTTACCCCACACTTGCTGAGAGCAATGTACCACCACCTTTCACGAACCGAGCGGAAGCTACGACCACTGGAGCAGCTTAGGTATCTGGTGCCCTCCTCTGACACCACCTGCGGCAGAGGAAGAAGGCCTGTCCTCACCACCTCCCAGACCCACGAGCTCCAGTACCTGTCCACTTCCCAGGCTGGGCCCCTACCTGGCAGCCTGACCAGGCGTACTGGGTGGTGAGGTTGATGACCTGGTTGTTCTCTGGCCTGATCACCGACTCCTTGGCCAGACAGTCCTGGGGAGGTAGGGAAGGGATGACCTCCTGGCCACTCATAACCTCCTGTTTCCCATCCCTCTTCCTCACAACCCTCACCTTGTCCCCTGCCTTGTATACAGCAGGCCACTGGGATGGATCATCAAAATAGAGGAGGATGTTTTGACAGCACTTAACCTGCAGTTCCGAAGATTTGAGGAGTTCAGGAGTGAGCTGGGGTAGCCTGTGCCTTGAGAGGCCAAGGGCGCAGCTACCTCCATGTGGAGAGTGTCTGAGGGAGACCCACCTCAGGGTAGCGGAACCGAAAGTCCAGTCGGCCATAATCCGAGAGGAAGCAAAATCTTGTCAGGAACACCCAGTCCTGGAAAGGGGGCCCAGTCAGATCCTCTTCTAAATCCCTGGGCCCCTGACATCTATCCCTTACCATGACACTTGTGTACCATGAAGAGACCTAAAGAGACCGAGTCACCTCCAAAATTCTTCCCTGACCCCTTCACCTTGGGTTCAGGATTTCTACAGTTAACCTTTCTCCCTCAGAGCCCCCAGTTTCCTTCCCTCTTCTCAAATACTACCCCTCCCATTTCCCAGGTACCTTGAGCAAGACGCTGGAGGGCCCCAGCCTGGTCATCCTCTGTCCTGGCCTCCATCCACAAACCCCCGCCTAATTGTTCACATACACACACCCTCACGATGGTCCCAGAGACCATTCTGTGCTGGAATCTTCTAAACGGCGCCGCCTGGTCCGGAGTCAGAGTGTGAAGAACTCGGGGCTCGCTGTCCCTTCAGCACCACCTCAGCAGTCCTCACCGCACCCCACAAAAACTCCACTCTCCCAACCGCCCCCCCTCCAGCTCTGACCTCAATGCTCAACGTCCCTCCTACAACCATCTCACAAGTCCGCTTCCACCCCAACCCTGGCCCGGCCCCGTCATCCCCCAATACGCCCCAGGATCCGTTCCCAGGGGCTGCTGGGGGCGGGGCGGAGCCCTCTCTGCTCTCCTCCCTCCCGTTCCCCAGGGGCCCGGCGGGCTGCATGGGGGGCCTGGCGCGCTCACCTCCTTGGAGCTGAGGTTGCCCCGCACGTATTTGGCCCGGGTGCGCAGGGGCAGCGGCAGCAGGAGCAGCAGCAGCGGTGGCAGCAGCAGGCGGCGCAGCACGAGTGTGCGCGGGGGCTCCATTCCATCCGCTCCGGCCCCGGCCCCGGCTTCTCTCTGGCTTCGGCCCCGCGACGGCGGCGAGAGCGCGCGGGCCGGCCGCGGCGCGCCCCCGATTAAAGGGGCCGCTGGTCGTCGCTCTCCCCAGCCCCCTCCTCCAGGACCAGACCGCCTGGCCCCCTTCCTTCTTCCAAGCGAGAGAAGATGCCCCTTTCCCAGTCTGCTACTCCGCCCCAGTCCCAACCCTCCGCTGTCGGAGCTTCACTGATACCTCAGTCGGCCCAAGTCCTAAACTGAACTCAGCTGTGCCCCTCCTGACCACCAGCTCCAGGACAGGCCACAAACCCCAGACTCTAGCTCTGTCCTCACCTGCCCCCTAGTTTAGCCACCGAACAGCTCTTGGATTGCTAACCCCGCCCCTATGACAAGAAGCCCAGTGCCCAGTCTAGCCCTGGGCTGCTGCTTCCAGGTCTGAAGCCCATGGAGACACAGTCACAGAGAGGGCAAGCTGCTTGTTCTGGAATACACAGCTCAGAGGTGGCAGAAAGCCCTCAGCTACAAGTAACATATCCTACTACCTAAGCCTTTCCTGGCCCTGATACTGGGGTATGATACCAAGTTGTGAAATAGAGAGGTGGCCAGAAACATAGATTCTGAAACAAGTAGCCTGTGTTCAAATCTCCATGTTAACACTTGCTTACATTTGACCTTGGCCCAGTCCCTCTGTGATCTTCCAGCCCAGTCCCTCCATGCCAATACAGAGGAGTCTTTCAGGTCCCATCCTCTGGACCCCTTGTTTCCAAGTAAGCAATGGGGAGCCCTGAGAAGACTTTACACAGTTTAGTCCTAACTCCTAAGCTGCACTTTTTTTGGTAAATGTTTTATTGTGAATTATGTGATAGTTTATATGGGAGAACATTAGCTTTACATTCATCCTATCGTATTTCATTTCATTGCCATGGTTACAATCCCCTCCATGCATCATCAACCAACCAAAGGGTATTCAGCTGGATTTTTATGAACAGACTCCAGCAAACATCTCGAGTTTCATTCCTCCCCTTCCACTGCAGAAAAATTGCTACTGAGCTGTTCAACAAGAAAACTTTGGAAGTCAAGGGACAAGCAGGAGACATGAGTGATACACTCTCACTGTTGTTGTTGTCAAGTGCTGTCGAGTCGATTCCAACCCATAGCGACCCTGTATAGGGTTTCCATGGAGCAGCTGGTGAGCTTGAACCACCAACCTTGCAGTTCAAATGACTTTGCAGTCTGGCGCATTAACCCACAGCACCACACCAGGACTCCACACTCTCACTGGACTCCATGAAATCGTAACACTCTTGCTTGGTTTGGGCCACTTGTTGCCATGTTGTTGTTGTTAAATGCCGTGGAGTCGGTTCCGACTCATAGCGACCCTGCACAGGGTTTCTGAGGCTGTAAATCTTTACGGGAGCAGAATGCCTCATCTTTCTCCCGCAGAACCGCTGGTAGTTTCGAACTGCTGACCTTGTGGTTCACAGCCCGATTCGTAACCACTATGCTACCAGTTGCCATGTAGGTTTGTAAATTGGCTACCTGACCTTTTTATTCTTCCTCTTCAGAGAAGCCAGAAATACAATATTCAAAAAGCAAACTGATTTCTAACAGTAGACAACTGACTCCAAAATGTGAGCTCTATCGTAAGAAAAAGAAATCCATGTGCCAGATTCAGTTGATGGGTTTTGTCCCTTTTCCATTGCTGCATAACTGTTCCCAGTGTCCCATCAACCCCTCAGAAGGGCAGGGCCCAAAGGTAACTCACTACAGGTTCCAGCATAGCCTAGGGATATGAGCTAAGCCAGAAGGGTCCCACACTCACTACTTGCCCTCCTCCCGGCAAGCCCACCACTCATCTGTCAGTTTGTTGTACAGTGGCAGCTTGCATGTTGCTGTGATTCTAGAAGCTATGCCACTGGTATTTAAATACTAGTAAGATCCTGGTGTGGTGCTGTGGGCTAATGCATCAGATTGCAAAGTCATTTGAACTGCAAGGTCAGTGGTTCAAGCTCACCAACCAGTTTCTCCATGGAAACCTTATACAGGGTCACTATGGGTCGGAATTGACTCGATGACATTTAACAACAACAGGATCACCCACGGTGGGCAGGTTTCAGATGAGCTTCCAGAAGATGAAAAAAGACTAGGAAGAAGAGACAGACTACTTCTGAAAATGCAGTCACTAAAAACCTTATGAGAAGCAGTGGAACGCTGTCAGCACCGGAATATTGAAACATGATGGAGAGCACCAAAAATATTATCAGCTACAGTGCCGGAAGATGAGCCCCTCAGGTTGGAAGGCACTCAAATGTATCTGGGGAAGAGCTGCCTCCTCAAAGTAGTTGACCATGATGACGACGCGAATGGAGTAAAGCCTTCATTTGCTGATTGGGCACAGCACAACTCAAAATGAAGGGAAACAGCTGTAAACACTCATTAATAATCAGAACATGGAATGTATGAAGTATGAATTTAGGAAAACTGGAAGCTGTCAAAAATGAAATGGAACCCATAAATATTGATATCCTAGGCAGTAGCAGGAGTCCTGGTGTTATGCTGTAGGCTAATACATCAGAGTACAAAGTCATCTGAACTGCAAGGTTGGTGGCTCAAGCTCACCAGCTGTTCCCTGGATACCCTATACAGGGTCGCTATGGGTTGGAATCGACTCGACGGCACTTAACAACAACAGGCCATTTTGAATCTGACAATCACATGGTTTACTATGCTGGGAATGACAAATTGCAGAGGAATGGAATCACATTCATCATCAAAAAGAACATATCAAGATCTGTCTTCAAGTACAATGCTAACTGTGATAGGATACTATCCAAATGCCTAAAAGGAAGACCAGTTAATACCATTCCTATTCAAACTTATGTTGAATAGTGAGGATGAAACTGAAGAATTCTATAAACTTCTTCAGTCTGAAATGATCAAACATGCAATCAAGATATATTGATAATTACTGGTGACTGGAATGCAAAAGTTGGAAACAAAGAGGAAGGGTCAGTAGTTGGAAGTAAGGTCTTGGTGATAGACAATGCTGGGCATTACATGATAGAATTTTGCTTGACCAATGACTTCTTCATTGCAAAAAACCTTTTTGAAACAACATGAAACACACCTATACACATGGACCTCACCAGATGGAAAACACAGAAATCAAATTGACTCCGTGGAAAACCTCCATATCATCAGCCAAAAATGGTCAGGGGCAGACTGTGCAACAGACCATCAATTGCTCATATGCAAGTTCAGGCTGAAGCTGAAGAAAATTGAAACACGTCCACAAGAGCCAAAATATGACATTGTATTTATCCCACCTGAATTTACAGATCATCTGAAGAAACAGACTTGATGCATTAGACACTAAAGACAAGAGACGGTAAGAGTTGTAGGATGACATCAAGAACATCATACAGGAAGGAAACCAAAGGTCATAAAGAAAGAAAGGGGGGTTAAAAAGGCCAAAATAGATGTCAGAAGAGACTCTGAAACTTGCTTTCCAGAGTAGTGATGCTACAGCAAATGGAACAAAATGAGGAAGTTAAAGAGATGAACAGAAAATTTCAAAGGGCAACTTCAGATGACAAAAAAAAAAAGTATTATAATGAAATGTGCAAAGATCTGGAGTTGGAAAATCAAAAGGGAAGAACATGCTCAGCATTTCTCAGCTAAAAGAACTGAAGAAAAAAATTCAAGTCTCA